TGAAAATAAGCTGTCAATAAATTCCTGTGTTGAAGCATGATGATTGTATTGAAGAAGGTCTACGTTAAAGTCTCCCATCACATAACAATGTTTATTGTCTTTAGAAATTAGTGAGAGAATATTGCTGAATTTGTCGATAAACATAGCAGTGTTTTGATTTGATGGTCTGTACATGCAACCGATAATAATGTTTTTACCGTGGGGAACGATAATTTCTAAGAACAGTGATTCAATTACATCTGGATTCGAAAATTTGCATTCTTTGAGAAGTTTGAATTCAAGGCCGTTTTGTAAATAAATTCCAACGCCAGCGCCTGTTTTCGATTTACGATGGTTGGAGACAAAATTGTATCCTGTGATGTTTACAAGCTCTGCAGTGCAATCAGTAAGCCAAGTTTCCGACACACCAATCACAGAGAACGGCGTATCAAGGTTTCTCAGCAATAAATTAAGTTGAACGAAATTTCTCATTAAGCTTCGAGTGTTTAAATGTAAAATAGAAAAGTTTGTTTTGTCGCCAAAAGAAGCTACTCGATTGTTCAGATCTTCCTCAATCATGTAGCCACTATTGGGCAGGCGAGTGATAAAGTTAGAGTCGGGATTCAGATGACTAGAAAGCGGATGAAATAATTCGGGCCTTTCGACAGGATTAAATAATAACGTTTCAACGATCGGCTTCTTAAATTGGTGACCATTTTCTTTATTCCCACGCCCTCCACTCTTGTTTCAGGGGTGATATTGTAAGGGGAAATTAGATGTTAGTCATTCTTAGAAGTCGAATGGTTAACATAATATTTCTTTACGTAGGATGCATACTGATAATCATCTGTCCGGCTAAGATCCACCCATTCGTGAAAGTATCTATGTAAGAACCTTTTCCTTAAGTTAGTATAGCTAACAGACACCATGGAACCCCTTCCCGTATGTTCGGATGCGAAATTTCAGTCACACAAGTTAAATTTAGTCCTATTTTGGTGCTTGGAGATGAAATATCGACGCAATAATGAACCAAATCCGTATTTCGTACGGGAAAACAATTCCAGTTTGAGGAAAGACCAATGTTTCTCTTAAACGTTGATGTAGTTTTATTTCGGTGCCTCTAAGGTAGAACCTAGATTTGATGTTCGGCGATGGAATAAAATCAACGAAATAATGACCTAAGCTTGTCTTTCATAGGGCATTTAATATTTGTGTCGCTACAGGTTCGTGGAAACGAGCCAAAAAGCAAGTGCACAAGACAAACGGCGAGGACCCCTTGTTTTTTCCTTCGCTCGCCTTGCCTTCTGCTCGTCATTAAAGTGAGTGAGTGCCCGGAAACTGGCTATTGTTGCACTGAAAGCGGCCGACAAGCTCGGTCCCGGAGCCAAAGCGAGGAAAATCATTAGGCATGAATGGTTTTGGTTGAGCCATAATAAAATTTATCTAATCCCCACTAAGGCTCTGTTCTGTGGCCCCCCTTAATACTCTGTTAGCGACGACTGATTTTCCGTCCCTTTCCCCCCAAAACCGTGTGACCCTCCCCAAAATTCCACGACCCCCGCCCCCATCACGAATTAAATAACGACTGGTCTTCTTTAAAATTTTTTCGTACCGTACCTCTAGCACCTGTGGAACCGTCGACAACTCAACCAGTAGTGCTGCAGCCTCACATTGAACCGCTACGAGTTTAGATGACATCATAAGGCTGTAAACGCTCTGAACAAAACAGCTGACGTTTGGGATAGTCCGTCGGGATTTCTGGTGAAATTAAAACCAAATTAGAAATCAGTGAAAGAGCGTAGATCAAACAAAGTTTGAAAGAAGGTCATCGTATTATCTGTCTTGGCATGGGGAAATCAAATTTTAAAATTTTTGTGCTGGACATCGTGAATTGTGTCAAAGGAACAACTTTCTAACACTGATCTCTTTCCCTGATAAACTTTATTTTTTGGTCTCGAGCTTCCATCTGCACCGAACTGTTTTCGCCATCTTTTAGCTTATAACATTCCTCACAATACGTTTGGTGATATTTGATTTGAGAGCAACTTGAGATTAAAAATAAAACGCTATAATCATGATGATGTTTTGAAGAATAGATAAATATGTGATCTACACCGGTCCCTTTCGATCCAATATCATCAAAGAGACAAATTTCAAGATGTCGTTTTTGATCCATCTGTTTGGTATTATGTGTTCAAGAGAAGAGGAAGAAGAACCTTTGTGCAGAACATCCAACTGACAGTGCTCCATAGAACCAAGCTTTAAGGAAAATTACCGTTAAGCGTTAAGTGCCTCCAACAGTACTCGAGATAAAGCTATATTGAACTGCGGGAATAGTTGATATGGTTGAACTATCTCTCCTTTTTGATTGAAATGGGTATCCAAAGCGTTATTACTTTTAAGGTCTAGAACGGAAGAGGTTTGTTTTTCTAATACTTAAAAGTCATGCTGTCACTGTACGTCAAGCTAAATATTCAAAAGAAAAAAAACAAAAAACAATAAGTGTAAATGGTCTAAGCATTACAGCTTTTCTGTAATTATGAGGACAAGAGCTTCTCTACATTCCCGCTGACATTTGATTAGAGCGCTGTGATCATTATATTTACAGCGATTAATTCTCAAGGATTGGTTTCTGGGTCACTTTGGAATTTCACGGGATAGAGAGCCTTCCGGTTTGTCTAACAAACAGGAATCCAAGTGATTTCCATATATTGTAACAAATTTCAGCCTCAATATCCGCTCTGTCAGGATATATAATCTACCGGTAAACGTCACTAAAAAAACAGAACAGAAGCATGTGACTTTGTTAAATCATGTGGAATAGGATCAAGGGTCTGTGATGTGTGATGTAAAGTTAGAAAAATCTTTTGGGTTACGCCCCGAGTGGGATGTCTACAAATACAGAACTTTGATTATTTCCATATGAGTTTCTTTCACGCATCATCACAGTATGACTTGCGGTATTTTTAACCCAGTAAATATACGTCTCATGGAAAACCAACGTCGTTAAACTTAGTCAGTGCCACATTGCGCTAAGAAATACTTATAGTGAAAATCCAATGGCTGGCTTGCCGGCCTCTTTGATTGGCACTGACAATAAAGCGTAATTATGTCGCTGAGTATTACTCCGTTAATTACATCAAACTCAAATGGGGTTTCACATGGTAAATTAAAAGAATGAAACGTTTGTGAACTCACCCAAAAACCGTTATCACCTCGAAGAAACATGACTGCAAGTAGGGCTCTGTGGTACACAGTACAGATCACAAGAGATCGCTGTTGTCAAAGTACGAGAACGTCACTCGAGTCGACTTTTGACTGTCCTTTTTCCTGATCTTGATAAATTCAACCTTTAAAAGATCACATGAAAAGCGTTTTCCTCGTATAGTATTTTTCGAACTTTCCCTGATGCACCATGAGAACCGTAGACTTGCGAGTCGGCGTAGTCAGTAGGGCTGATCTGTAACAAACGGTTTCACAGTTTGTCACTTGTGTTTGTGAGTAGGTGGTCAAGGTTTCGTGACCGGAAGTGAATTTCCTTCATGTCTCCGCAGGCCCCCCACGTGAGAGCATTCGTGTTGTGGGTTTATCGTTTTTATGACGCACCAGTTATGACAGTTATGGTTGGCTGGTCTTATGAAAAGCAAATGACGATCCTTTACATAAAGTACTTAATCTAAGAAACATTATTTTGCAAACAAAAGATGAAAACAAAGTATCTGAATAAATTTGAATAATCAAGACCTTCAAAACTTCCGAAAGTAAGCAGAACAGTTGTAAACAAATGTATTTAGTTTATCAAAACAGAATTTCATGTCTTGATGTTGCCGATATTCAAGGAGAAACGAGTGTATCAAAACAATATTGATCGAACATTACGACCGGCACGCAAACTACCAAATTGACTGATAGCCAACATTGATATTGACCCACTCAACGAAAGAAGCGTGACCAATCAGCGGTAAGTCTTGCAGGCTCGTGAAAATGTAAAAAAATGGCGGTAATGTAAATGGCGGAATGATTTGTAAAATGCAGTTGAGCATTGTTTCATTTTGTATCCTGTAATCATTTACACTCCACAGAAGTCTTGAGCGAACAGAACCATGGATTCTGTAGCCGAGGACGATGTTACTCTTCCTCTAGATTTTGATCGGAGGTAATTTGACGATGACACTTTAATTGTGTTTCGCTTTGTTTAATTTGACAAGTTGTTTTGCGTTCATCGATCGCTGTGCGGTTTTTAGTCTGGGGTTATTAAAGCTTTATGTTGATCTATTATTTATATTGATAGTCTTTCATTAGCCTCATTTCCAGCTTAGATAAACCTTATTTGATGTTAACTTTCATTCCCTCAGCACTAACCTCGCAAGGTTCAGCGAAGCTGTTGTAGCAGGCACGGGGGGTAACATGTTGGATTCCTCCGCTGATTTCTCCGAGGGATTAACAGTTAAACCAACAACAACAGGTTAGGATTTATAGTTTTGCCTCAGAGTCTCGCTCCGTCGTCGAGCTGGGTGATCTTGCATCTCGTGAGCTAGTGAGCTCATCTGTAATTAATACTTTGCCATTTTTCCAAGGCAATGCAGATACATGTAGTCCTTGTCAACTTTTGGGGATTTCCAACCTTCTAAATTTGCTCAGGAATTTTCTAAAAGCCACACTGGCTTGCTTAGGATAGACAGTGTGAACGTCAACAAGAGAGAAAAAGGGAGCAGTTGTCTATAATTTTGACAATAGGAAAAAGCGTACTCAAGTCTTTAATTAAGATGCCCGTCTGTTAGAGTATCACGGAGTTGAGATAACATCTTTCAGTTTTATAAAAATATTCTTTTCTTAGGAAATTGGTCGAGTTCATAGTTTCCATAACAGTGTTACTAATAAACATAATTATAGCTTTAATCACAATGACAAAGCATCTGCTAGAGTGCAGACATGATAATGCCCCCAGGGGTGATCAACACATAAACTCTTTCCACAATACTGATACGTCATCTAACCAACAGGTGACAAGAAGAAACAAACTGATCAGTTTTGTGAGATCTTGATGGGATAATAAACTCTCTTAACTTGTTTTTTAAAGAAATGCGATGAAAGGAGAATAGAGAATATTGATTCAGATCTCTCTGAAGGGTATAAAATGCTTTGGTTTGTGTTGAGGCTCAAAAAGCAGAAAATTAATTAATATTCTTTCTTTAAAATATTAAACTTGCAGACTTCCAAAGCAAAATATAAAAGGACAAGACCCATTCTTCCTGCTTTTTTAACCCTTTTGGGTAGAGGGGGCTTGGAAAATGTTGAGAAACTGAGAGAAATGTGGCATATGCATTAAGAATCTCTTACACTGGGTACACAACAGTGAAAATGATAAACTAAAGTATACTGGTATTTTTTCTACTTTGAGGTGCAGCTAACCAAGACAGTGCTGGGTCTCCTCAAACAAAAACAATGAAAGATTATGAATATGTAAGTGAACTGTAATGGTGAGACTGTGTTCTTCCTTGTTAGACTTGTATGCATACTTTGCATAGAATAACATTAAAACAAAGTTAATTTTCATTAGCTGTTGTCAAGTAAGTTACATTTATGAAACAATTACTTGAAGAGCTGTGCAGTGTTATGTCTTGGATCAATAATTTCCTCTTGATTTATCTGCCATTTTGAAAGTTTTTAAAAGAACTGACTGAAGAAGAAGAGGCGTACAAACCTCTGAACTCTTTTTGCTAGTTTTCTCTTCATTTTTAAAGAGGTTCTTTGTCAGAAAATGTTTTTGTTTATTAGGGTGCTGTGCAACTGTCTCTGCATTGAAATAAAGAAAAACCTGTTTCTCATAATAACGAAACCACTGCATTAGGTTAACATTTCTTGGATAGTGGGCGTCTTCTTGCTTGGATTATTTCCTCACCATAGAATATGAAGTAGTAAAAGAGTTCTGTGCTATGGCCCCTGGCACCTTACTTTCACTCTTGGGCAACTTGGGAATTTAAGTTTTTTCATATAAAAGCATATGCTGGGCACCCTGTATTTCAAAGTTTCAGAGCAGTAGGCTCTCTTCAGTTTTTCTTCAAGTACAGCCTTGTTATGGTAAAAAATTTTATTTATTACTCTGAGAACTGACTTGTTCCTTACATTCTCAGCAACACTTTTTTAGAAAGGTGCAACTTCATCAACTAATTCTGCCTGGTTGCAATTTTAAGAACCGTCTCATTCTCAATTATCTCTTTAAAGACTGTGAAATTTTCCTTTTCATTGTAAGTTTTCAAATTATGGTTACAAATGAATGGTTATCTGGGACTGGTTCCTATCTGATTCTCTTGTCGGCTTATCAGCTTTATCCAGTGAAAAATTCAGGTTCATGGATTGCGTCCTCAATTAATTTTGGTAATACTAATTTCAAAAATTCTCAGTAACTGAGGAAAGCTTTTCACAATTGTGTATGTCTCAGCTTCCTGTCCACCTGTGCTTTAATAGACATATTACTTTCATTCTTAAAAGCAGTCAAAATTATCTTACATAATATGTGCATATTTTAAACCTTTTTTTTTCCTCTTTGAAAACTGGATTTGAAGTGAAATTTTATTTCAGTTTTTCTTTAATTTGAATATTTACATTCTTGTGGTATTTAAAGTGGCTCTTGCTGATAAAAGGAAAATGAAAATTTAAGGCATTTCAGGGTTACAGCTAACAGCATTAAAAGAGTAAAATTTATTCTCAAATTCAGAGATGAATATTTTTTGGGCTGTTTAGCTTTTTTGGGCCTTTTGACTTATGTGGACAAGATCTGCATTTAGAGGATAACTATATTTTTGCAATGGCCAAACAGCTAAATGAGGTTTGAACAATATTTATCTACCAAATTTTCAAAATACCACAGCAGGAAATGTGATTTGTTTTCATGTTGAATTTTGTCTGAGGACTGTCTGTGGAGGTGGCTCAAAATCAACATAATAAAAAAATAGTTTTTGTGCAATTAAATAAATTCTTTTTTGTCTATTCACAGCAAATATCAGAACTAAAGAAAGAAAATTTTGGTTTGAAGCTGAGAATTTATTTCTTGGAAGAACGTGTCAACCATGGTGGTGATGTTCCAGAGGATATTTTTAAAGCTGTAAGTAAAAATGACTTTTTTTTGTGAATTTGATTTCCTGTAATGTGTTTATTTCTTGATTGACAATCTTCACTTATTTACTCAAAAATGATATTTACTTCTGATCATAAATTTTCAGAATGAGGTTAATGGAGTAGGTGTACACACCAATAAATATAGCTCCACTTATGTACAAGAAAACAATCCATTATGGCATTTTAGAGTAATACATTTTAAGGAAGTATTAGTGAAAAGGGTAGTTTTTTTTTTAAGTTAAGGGATGGAAGAGGTTTGGTGTACTTACCAAAAGGACTAGAAATTTTTAATAGATTAAGGATGTTGGTTATTAATTAAGAAAGAAATCAGGACCAATTTGAAAGCTCAACTATCATGATCTCAGTTTTAACATTCTAGAAAAAATCACTCAGACACTTACTTAATTTTTTAAAGTCGTTTTTATTAGAAATATAGATTTAAATATATATAATTATACCAGGTCTTTTTTTTCTGAGATTCATTTGAGCCCATCATGTTTTTTTTTTTTAAAGAACATTGAGCTAAAGGTGACAGTGGAAAAGCTGAAGAAAGAGTTGGTAGAAAGACAGGAACTGCTGGTCAAAGCCTCGTAAGTGCAAACTGTGTAAAATTTTATTTGAGATTCCAAAAATACTGTTTTCATGCAGAAAAAATGCCAAAGTTTAATTTTCACTTTATGATAAAAGCACTTAAATCTTTCTTTTTCTCTTTTTATACCTTTTTTGTACTTCTCTTATGCAGTTTACTTCCTGTCAAGATTATTTCTTTCCTTAATTATTTCATGGTTCATATTGAGTGATGTGCCAGTTTTCATTGGGAGAGTAAAGCATCCTGTTTCAAAATGATTATGATTTAGAGTGTTTCCTTGTTAGGAATGCAGTGGAAGCCTTAGCCCAACACAGTGACTCACAGATCAAACAGGTGGGTGATAAATGCCAGTAATGATCCTTAAAAAATTGCACTTAATTGATCATATTGCCTGATTTGGTTAAAGTAGTTGTTGATGAAAGTGAGAGATGTTATGGCAACCCTGAAATACAGCTGTCTTCGGAGTCATCTGAGGATGTGTTTGTTACTTAATCACAAAGTGGTGTGCCTGATTGTTATTCTTTTATATGCATACAAGTTAGCTGTTGGTGGCCTTTCCAACATTTCTAAAAACTGTTGTAAGTTGTAATTTTTACTCAAAAGTAAGGTCAAGAAGGCTTACCTACATCGTGCACATACAAAAAGCAATCCTGTGCCTATGTACTCATTTAATTCTGTTTCACCACACAGCTCACAGAAGAACACAATGAAGAGTTGAGAGAGATCAGGGAAGGATATGAATTAAAACTTAAAGAAATGGAACAGGTTTGATGTTTGATTTGATAAATTATATCTCCAGAAATATGCACGTGCACATTTAGATTTAAGAGACCTCATAAATTTTATGCCCAGTTTCTTGAAATGAAAATCAATACCATTGTAATCACAATAGCTAATCAAAACAATGGAAAATTATACAAAGAGCTTTTAAGAACTTCAAACTGGTTTCAGTTCTGCATCTCATTGATTGAGGGGATAATATACACAGACTGTATGCTTTCCAGGTCCTTTACTATAGATAGTTTACAAAAACTTATAGAAATCCTAGATGGACAACCAGGTAAAAACTGCTTTCAGTTTAAAACTGCGTGTATTCCTGAATTTTGCTGGTATTTTTGTGCTCTCCTTGTTTCTAGGAATTGGCTGTTGCTAAAAATGAACTTGAGGACACAACTGATAAGCTTGTAAGTGATTTAAACTTTTACTTCTATTTTGCTTTAATAGCCAAATGTTACTTGATGGTTTTAGTATACCAATCAGATCTTATGACTTATTAATTCTGTTATTTATGCAAGCATACAACTTTCCTTGTCCAGATGAACATGTAATCAGATGAACCCTTTCACCCTTAAGAGTGCTGAACATCTTATTTTTCCTTACAATTTTTACCTCTGAATCACATAGTAAGATCATGAGAATAAAGAAAATGATCACCAACTGAAGAAGCTCTTGATTGTTAAACAAATTCTCCTTGTCAGCATCTTAGGAAATGTATAGAGAACAGTATGGAGAATATGCAGACTGACATTAGGCTGTAAAGAGATGATGACCAAATTATTTTTTTTTGTACACAGGCAGAAACCACTAATCTTAATCAACAGTTAAATGACAAACTATTAGAGAGTACTGATGGATTCCATGATGATCAGCAGCAAATGCAGGTAAGGTCATAAAATAATTGAGAACTTTTTGTCTGAGTGTCACAAAACCAAACTTTAAGATATCACAACCGCCAATCACAGACTGAAGTAAGATTATCCAGGGTTGTTGCATAATTCCCCTCACTTGAAATTTCAGCCAGCAGACTGACAGTGTAATTTCTCAGCTACAATGCTGATTATCATCAGGAAATGTAATACACATGAGTTGAATTATGCTTCTGTACCCTTCTTATTGACAAGGGCTCCAAACTTTTTCTCCACCCCAAGAAAACACTGTTTTTTTTTTTTTCCATTTGTAATTGGCTTCTTTGCCTTTGAGTTATGAATGCAGTCCATATTTTGCATTAATGACCTCTCAGTTAATTAATAAGAAGTACTTGGTAATTAATTTCCCAAACTCTTTTTCTTAAGGTTGCCATGAAAGCCACTCTAGATGAGAAAGACAGGTAAAAGTGAATGATGCATTTCTTGGATATTAACTTTCTTGATCAGATACTTGTGCCAATATCACATTAGCAAGGTTTACAGAAGTATTTGATCTTCTTGTTGATAAATGGTAATATGACCGGGTGGAGTCCAATTCAGTCTGTAATCCTACAAGAGATAAACAAAATTGGACCGTGAAGCAGAAGTTGGATGACACAAAGTCTTGTTACCACTTAACCCATTCATGGCCGCAGCTTTTGTGAAAAACTGTGTTTTGAAGCTAGTCAAGCAGATTTCAGGTCACTGTTGTGGTTTTAAAAGCTCAAACTTACCAAAAACCCATTGACAGCTCATACTCTCGATGGTCTTTCGATCCAAATGCAAAATGGCGGCCTGAAAATCTCGGGCACGCGCAGAAAGCAAAATTTCGAGATTTCTCTCTTTCTCCTGCCTTTTTTTGCCCCTCTCCTTGCCTGAAGTTTCTCCTCACTTGCTGGAAATTTAGTAGGCTTCATTTTGGTGTAAAGATTTTTTAGGAAACTACTCATTATTTTCAAACCACAGGCTCAGAAAGGTAGGTGGGTAATGGAACAAGATTTTTGTGCAGATTTTCATGTCTAAGTTACATGGTTTTTTGGCTATTTCTCCAATCTCCTCCACTCAATTGCGCTCATTCTGGTATCGTTTGTAAGATATTTTCAACCTGTTCAAGTACGTGTTCAAAGTCGTGCTCCAGGGTTAAAAGTGATGCTGTCACAAGGCGTATAAAGGGTGTGGGTCCACATGGGGGCATACGGGCGCACTGGACGTCAATAGGTTAATCAATACTACGACAAAAATCAAGCAAGAAATTAGACACCAGTTATATATTTCATAAAAAATTACAGTTAACTCAGCAGAGTGCACATTACAACAGTGTGTGCACATGACACCATCTGTCCACGCGCACAAACATGACATGTTAACTGTCCCTTTAACTATCCTATTACACTGTTCAATTACAAGCGTCAGGGGCGGATCCAGGATTAAGTCAAGGGGGGTTCGGAGAATTGTCCGAGGGCATGCTCCCCCAGGAGATTTTGAAAATTGGGTCTTTGGAAACATGATTTCCAGCTTTTTGAGGGAAAATTTAGGGGGTTCGACCGAACCACCCAAACCACCCCTGGATCCACCCCAGAGCATGATGCATACATAGTCCAATTAGTGCTCAAATCAGGCTGGTGATAACCAATCGTGTACCAGAATTTTGTTCTAGTTTTGATTAATTATTTTGACTTTCACCGATACTCACAATCCCTTATCTCTGATGCTTTTCTCAATTTTCAGGATGATAGATGATTTGAGAGGGTCTCTTGCTTCTGCACAGGCAGAGAATAAGGTTTGTTTGTTTTTTAAACCCTTCTCAAATTTCTTTCGACCGAATCTCAAATCCTCTGTGTGCACTGGTGTTTAAAGTATTTCTTGCAGGTTCTGGCTTAAATTATATATATCAGAAAATAAGTTCCAACACCCATTTACCCATGATGATGACAGTAGTGAGTGTAATGAAAGCAATCATCATCATCATCATCATCAGTCTTCTTCATGCTCTGTTGCACATAAGGCCTTGATACTTCTCTTCCATTGGTCCTGGTCTCTTGCAATAATGAAAGCAATAGCAATAATAAATAATTGTAACACAGGTTATGATAGTTATTTGTTATAATTAGAGGGGGGAGTGTTGTAGCTAAGAAATTACTGGTACACTGCCAGCTGAAATTTCAAGTGAGGCAGCTCAAAGGTGGTGAATGATTGTAAGTGTGTAACCTCGCAAGTACTTGTTGTGCTTTACCAAGCGATTGCTGACCAGAAATCCAGCTGCTTTTTCATCCAGCAAATTTCGCCAGCAGCCAGTACTTAGCAACAATCTTAGGAATGTGTTTCTAAATTTCTAATTAATGATGCTTTTCTTTCAGGATTTGAAAGATAACTTGGACAACCTGAAAGACATTCAAACCCAATTAGAACAAAACATCCCTCAGGTATACTCATTCATCAGTGAAAATGTTATTTTGGTGACATTGAATGCATACTTACATTGTAGGGTCTCACACTCGTGTCCTAAATTTTTGTTTATCTGATATACATATATTTTTTAGTGCAACTATTCCCTTAAAAAGTGGAAATCCACCCGTAATGTGACTGGTTGATTTTCATGAAGTCAGTATTCTGTTGTTCAGCCTGAAGGGCATAAAATTAATTTTAAAGAGTCTCCTGGGATGAATCTCCATTTCATTCTTCCAAAAAGTATTAGTACCGGTACACAATTTAAAGTTCCAGCTGTTGCCAGATTGGTATTCAGTCAGTGAACCTTGATAAAAAGATACTTTGCTCTCCAATGTGAGTAATTATCTGCACATAGTAGGAGTTATTATTTGAAAGGTTTGAGAACCAAGGTACTAGGCAACTATTTGGAAAACTTGAGCAAATGCTAGGGATTACCTGCATTAGAGTGGTATCCCATCAAAGGCGGCTGCCAAAGAACCAAATCACTTTGGGCTGCTTATTAAATAATGTTTTGCTGTTGTTGAACAAAACAGCATTCTCAGCCCTCACCTCTTTAGCTGAACCTTTTACTTGAATGTTTGTTTTTGTGAACGCTGTCAAGAGGACTGAAAGCTAATAGTGGAAGCTTATGGAGAGTCCCTGAGGTCCACTGCTTGTGTAAAACCGCAGTTTGGGTTAGACCCTGTGTAATTAACCTCTTTAACTTAAGGGTAAAAAATATCTGGGTTAAGATCCAACAGGAATGGCCTGGCTTTTACACCTGATCTCTTTAGATGGGTAGAAACATTTTTCAAGAAAGGGGGGTGGGTGGACCTCTAGGAGTATTTTGTTATATAGACAAAATTTCTAAGTGGTATGTATTTTTCTCCTAACAACAGAGTTTAGAAATTAATGAAAAACAGATCCTAGAGTGCCAGAGAAGAATCAAACAGCTGACAGAGGAACTAGAAAACAAAAACCACAAATTAGAGGTTAGCTTACAACTCACAACTTATACATGGTACGGTTGTTCAAAGGGCAGATAAAACTTTCCAATAGATAAATCACTATCCAGTGGATAAGCGTTAACAAAGCATACCACGTTATCCACTGGATAGAGATTTATCCACCCTTCCAACAATTACAGCCAGGTCATCAGAGGTAAGAGTGAACTCTGGAATGACCTGTTTAATGTAAATCTGGCAATGAACCAACTGTTTTTATGCTCTTGTTAAGGAACTGAAAGAGAAAGCCAAGAAAACAGAAAGAACTAACAGGGTGAGGATCACTGTTTTGTCTCTATAATTGTACAAGGGGCTTCAATAATGCATGGAATGGAGTGTTTATGAAAGGATCAGGAGGTGTGTCACCATTTAGGTTATCACTGTTAAGGAACATTCACTGGCAGACTTTATAACATAACCAAAGTAAAGTGCGTGCTCTAATTGGTCAATTCAGCGTTTCTCATTTGCCCATGGGTGTATGCTGCTGACATGAGCAAATGCGGAGACTAGTTTTCCGTGCGCGCTTGTTTTTTCTGGTCACATATGATTTGTTAAATAAAAGGAAACTCTCACTACAATGTATCAATGTTATGTTATAAAACAAATGGTAAACACCACAGTGTACAACTATTGAGTTATGGATGCACTTGGGAGGTTTGCCAAGCACTCAAAAAGCTAGAGTTGCTCTCGGCTATCGCCTTGCACGACTCTTATGCTTCTTTTGTGCTTAGCAACCTCCCGCGTGCATCCATAACTCAATAGTGTACACTGTGGTGTTTACCATTTGTTAAATTTCAGTGTTTGTAACATTTTCAGTAAGTAAGTAAGTAAGTAAGTAAGCTTTATTTGTTAGAGCAGGTCAGTGGTGGCAGCTAAACAGCTGATGTGGACCTGCTATTAATTAAAATGCATATACAAAGGAATACTGTACACAGTTAAATTTCTACTATGTACAATTAAAGTTCTACCATATACTATTAACTATTTCAAACTGAACCAGCCACAGCCTTGGACAAACTTTGTTCAAAAATGCACATTTCAAATATTTAGTTACTTCCTGGAACATGCATTCCCACTTTCAATAACCTAAAACATACATTCCTGATTTCAGTGTTGGATGGTAGCAAAATGCAAAGGTTTTTCACAGAGATTTTTTGTCAACAAGTTTGAGAAGGAGAAAAAAATGCAAAGGGAGCAGACATGTTTAGCTTTGTTAGCAAGGTTGCAGATTTCTTTCCCTGGATAGAATGCTAGTCTGTTGCAAGTAGCCCCCTGAATTTTGTCAAAAAACACAGAGAGATGCAATAATGGAAGGACAACAGCAACCAGAACATAAGCCCTCTATATTTTGTCAGTTCTTCTTGATTGTTGGTGAGTTTCAATACCTCTGGGTGGAGAAAGGCACAGCAGTTAGCTACCACAGTCCTGAGGTGGTCACCCAGTGGTGTGCTTGTAAATGTAATCTTGCAAACAAATGTGTAATTTTTAATTTACTGTTGGTCAGGAGTTAAGAAATCAGCTTCACGACAAGGAGAGGGAAGAGCATCTTAACTCAAGGAACTCCACAGATAATTCGCTATCTCAGGTGAGAAAAACGCAATTTGCTCTTCAGAAATATTCATGGACTGCAATTTCTCTTTACAGTATCCCCACTGAAAATAATTGATCACTAATTTAAGAAGCTCCTCACTGTTAAACAGATTGTCCTGCTCATTACCGTAGAAAATGGAAAAAGAACAGTCTGAAGAATATGAATACTATGCTAAGGCGTAAAGGGTTAATGGTTTGAACCCAGGGGGTCCCCCAGGGGGTCCCCCAGGGGTAGCAGTTGACTCGGTGAGAGTAGTCCTGAACAAGACTGTTGTCGGCGGTAGTGATTGACATTTGAAAACCCAAACAAAGGCCATTATTGGAGTCTTCCAGCCAATCACATCATTGCAAAACTAACCAATAAGTTTTCACAAATCATTTTTATTACACTTGACTTACAGATATCTCTTTTATGGATAGTGACTATTAGTATATACCACACAGGTGAAAAAAATCTTTTTGTGCACGCTGATTGGCTAGTTCGGAAGTGATTAGCAAGTACTGTTCACCACCGAGCAGCCGATGAGACAAATTCGCGCGTCAAGAGTTAATTTGCGACAATTTTGGTAAATTGAAAGAAAAACAAAATGTTTTTTTTTGGTTTCTGTGAACAATTTTGCACCTATGGTGCATAAATATGCGCAGAATTTCGGCGGGCGTGGAATAAGTAATATTATGCTAAGTTTCCACGTGCAATTCCTTCGGATTTTATGATCCCGCTGCTTATCTTTCGCCTCACGTCGCCAAAGCCTGCGTGTTTCGTACTTGAAGTTTTGCTTTCTGTACCCAAACGAGATTTGGTTCACATTATGGCTGTGCCTCAAGAACCGACTGCTGCTGAGTTAGGAACCTTAGCCGCTTAATCAGTTCCTGCTGTTGACCCAAGTCGACCAGCTGCCGTGCCACAACTCATGGATGGAGCGGAATTAAACCAAGAAGAACAGTTAGGCGGGGAATTTCAAAGGTTCATATTTTTTTCTCTTTCGTTCGGTTATGTTCATACTTTTTTTTTTTTTACCCTTGGTGTTTCGTGTACTTTCAGATTTTTGAATAGTCTTGGTTGCACGATCGGCGCTCGCCCGTTAGCAGTGTGTCGGCTTCAGCCTAACCGATCGTTTGAGTGTCAAGCATAAATTTTCATGCACGTGTGTCGGCCTAATCTAGTGTTCGTTTGTGTGTTAAGTGTTAGTAGTTTGGCAGACGCTCTTGTGGACTTGAGATTAAACGTTTGCTTGTGTATGAAGCATTGCTCAATTGGTAGACACCGTGTGTTGAATGTGTTGAATTTCTAAAGTTTTTTTTCTATGTATTAGCAACCGTTTACAGCTTTTTGTAGAAAGGTTGTCCGAAAAAAGGACAATACGCACGCTACAATCTCAAAAGGTAATCTGGGTATCCGATAATCAGTAAATTTTAATAGGTGGAACAAAGAATATGAACAAAAGGGCCAATGAATAGGGGATGATTACCGACATGCACGTGAATACGAGAGGAACAAAATAGTAGAATATGTCGTTGTAAATACTTTTTCTTCAGGTCGCTTCGAATTCGCTCTCGTTGAGTTTACATCGTTTTCGTCGTTCGATTGGGTCAGTTCTTTCTTACTTTCGTTTTACATCAAGTTTAGAATTAAAAGTCGGTCTTGCGAACAAAATAAATTTATCAAACGTGCCATGCCTCTTCCTACCAGCATAGTTGGTAATGTTTTCTCAGATTTCTCTGAAATTCAGAGGTCACGGAACTATCCACAATGCCTTCCAGGGTTGTCGCGTGCACTTTCCTTCACGCACTCTCCCCTGGCCTAGCCTGGCCGCGATTAGAGAGGTAATCTCAGTTACACCCTATAATGTGTTTAGGACGGATCCTTGGTCCGGTTCGGCTGGTGGGTTTTTTTTACTTATTTCTTTTCTTTGGTCGCCTTATCAGGTTTTGTGAATCTTTTCGTCTATGGTGCGACAAGGCAAGTAACCTCACTAGCGGTGTTAGGCCTTCTCGTCCAAATTTTCTCTGTAGGCCTCCAATTCCTAGCTATGGACGCGAGTACTCAGTGATTTATACAGGGTGTCAAGTTCCTATTTTTTTGGCCTGCCTCCTATTTCCTCCAATTTTTTCGTGAAATTCCCAGTTTTTCCTATTTTTTTAGGGTTTTACTAGGTACACAGAAAGATTTTGAAATATTTGAAATAAAATTGCAAATAAAATTGATAAATTCTACCAAAAATTGAAACTTCATGTCAAAAAAGACCAGTTTGAAGCCTTTGAGTGATTTTCTTCTCAAACTAGTGCCCAGACTTTCTCAGTGCTTTTGATAACATGCAAGGGATTCTGGTAGGTTCATTTGCATGTATGTGGGGCTCCAATGCATTATGGATGTATGTCATGGTGCCTGTTAAATATTAAAGCGTTGAGTTGTGGAACAGAGTTTCTGTTGGGAGTGTTAAGAGGATGGAACTCAAAGAAATCCTCCTATTTTTTTCTTATTTTGGGGTGAGAATTCCTATTTATTTCCTATTTTTAGGCCACTATCATTCCTATTTTCTAAGTGTCATTTGTCACTTGACACCCTGTTTATAGACTGGAGTAGCGAGATGAGTGAGCAGCCGAAGGCCACAATTTTTTCTCATAACTTGACCACGCCAGACAATGAGTGGCATAAGTAATGAATGAAGATGGTTCACTATGCAGGTTGCTTGAATGTCAGTCATTGCGAACCTCAACAGTCCTTTTCAGAACTACTCCCTTTCAGACAGTCACACCACATGATAAAATGATATAATATATTATATATTACATCATGATTAAAATTATTATGCAGTAAAGTTCTGAGAAGAGACAGGGAGACTTGGAATCTTTTAAAACATGAAGTATACTAACTAGAACACGATTTTGTGAATTTTTTTGTTCTTGTTTACTGAAATCACCATTAGCGAATTATTTATACCATGAACAGGGAATCGTCGGTAGTGTCTTGCTAATTCGACTTCAATTTTTATGTGACACAGAGTCAGAAGGAAGGCTCCAGGGACAGCGAGGTATGAAAAAAAAAAAAGATCTGATTGTCAATTCTCCCTTCAAGCTGCTACACATTTTCTTGTAAATTAGATTAAAAAAAAAAAAAAACCTCTTCTGGTTAAGTTAGAGTATTCTCATTACCTGTTTGCTGGATAATGTATGGATATTATAGGGAGAAGTTACATGTTGATCACATCACTTGTGGTTGTTAAAGGGTTAACTCAGGGATTCTACATACAGGACAACTATTATGATGGGCTGAAACTCAAAGATCATCGGTAGGTCATCAGTCATAGTCACAAATTGTGGGGTCAATGACTTGCTACAGACTAATTTTAAGGGCGGGGGGGTAGTGGTGCTTTTGGGCGTATTAATATGTATGGGTTCAGGAACGTTTTTAGCAATATCTCTACAACTGCTCGAACAAATATTATCAAATTTTTTTTTGGGGGGGGGGGAGGGAATAACTTTTACAGTTCTTTTATGTGGGTTATTTGCGGTCAGTTCAACCATACCAAAGTTTGCTAAGGAAAATAGTGAAATATAGTTAAAATACCATTTGAATGATTATTTCTTATCGATTTGTGATAAAAAGATAAACATCATTTTGGTCATTTGGTGATGTTTTGTTACTAATTTTCTCAATTTATATTAAAAATGATAAAAGGCAGATGATGTTGGCTCGAAAAATACGAAGCCCATATGACAAATATAACATAAAGAGGCATTCTGTGTTACTAATATTCTCATCCGCTTGAGGTTGGTAAAGTTTTTGACGTTCTATCAGCTAACCAATTTCCATTCTCCTACATTTAAGTGACTTGACAAGATAGTCAGATAAATACCTGAAGGTTTTTGACATCATTTCGGATTTCACATGCAATTGCGCCGGCCTTACAGCCAGGACTGTAAATTGAGCTTAAAAAGCTCTCAGCAGATTGATCAACCTCTTGGAACTTGTTCTCCTGAGTCATGTAAATGCAAGTACGCATGTTTGTTACTCACAAGAGCCTCCACGCGTTCTTTTTCCCCTCCACGTGCGAGGACACATCCCATAAAAGCGTGGAGTGCTGGTAGAAGCCTGCAAAGCTCTTGTACAAGCTTTCTTACGAGACGATGTCTTTGGAAGATGGCAGAGCATGTCCTTTGTCCCATTGCGGAACCATGGCTGATCACATCTCAAATGATATGTAGAGATGCAAAGTTCAGCTTAGGTCAGTATCACGGTGACTGAACTACGATGCAGCCATGATCGTGAGTGTAGTCTTCATCATAGAGAAACATTCTTGTGTCTGCCTCCTCATCATACGCTTCACCGACGATCGGCAGCTCTTATCAGAGCTCATTGACTCTCCGATCGAGACACAATCTTCTTGTGATCGGGAGCTCTTATTAGAGTTCCTTGACTCCCCGATCAACACAGAAACGTCTTGTGATCGGGAGCTCTTATCACAGCTTATTGACTCCCCGATCGAGACACAATCTTCCTGCGATGAGGAGCTCTTATCATAGCTCCCTGACTCCCCGATCAACACACAATCT